CCTTTTCAGCTTTCAATCCTAGGAGWTTCTCATGTGGTCGGCTGGTATTAGACTCACATGAAAAACCCTAACTTGGCTCTGATACCATGTAGGTTTTCAAGACTGCTATTCAGTCTTGATCACTAAGAGATTTCAGGTTCGATGAGAAGGGAAAGTGAAGAAGATGTAGAAGAAAGAGTGATGGAAGAGCAATAACACAGATTTTGAGGAGAAGAACATAATGTCAATATTCTGTTGCCGCCACTTTAAATTAATATATATAGGTTATGCTAGTTACATGAAAGGACATATCTGCCCTTGGTGTTTACATCATAACTGCTAACAAATAACAAACAATATAAAACTGAAACTAGAAATAAMAGAACAGCAAAATAACCACAGCTGTGACTAGATACATTCTACCCTACGGACAGAGTGGGACCACAGCTGTGGGGCCCACATCACTGTTCTCTACACATACTATATAATTATATGGCACATAAAAGTTGCATTATACCTAGGAACTCAGGAAAACAGATCATATATATCACTTGATAGTGAAAAAAAAAATTCCTTACCTCGCGTCCAAATTGCACTGGAAATTTCTCACTATCCTCATCAGAATGTGATAGTATTGTACCTTCTGAAAGTTCCACATAAAAGAAACTCATTCTTCTATCAAACTGTGTTCTCAATGATTTCCTTCCTTTGAAAAAATTGTTGTCTGCAATTAAGAGAAGCTTTGGAAATGATGAAGCAAACAAGACTCTATCAAACTGCTCTTTTCTCCTTGTGCAAATCCAATTTAACAAGCTACTTCAGAATTTGACACAAAATATTCATATCAATTAAGATGTATAAAGTCTAATTGTGAGCAAGAGAAAGCAATTCAAGACAAATGTTAAAAACAAGAGGGAAGAATATGCTACTTTCAAACCCAAAGCATTTAGCAGTATGATCAATACCCAGGTATAACGTTTTTTTTTTTTTATCAATAACAAGGGATTTCATTAATTAGAGGAAAAGGAATACCAAGGGGAGATAACCTCTCTTATCTCCCCCACACAACAAACATTGCAGAAAATTACAGTTCAGCCCAAAACAAGTTCTCCCTATTCACCCCTTGCTTCGCTAACCCATCAGCAAAGGAGTTTGCACATCTCTTAACCAAAGCTACTTTAACTTCCATTTCTTTTGTCAACCACTTGAATTTTTTCTTCTCATTGCTGTACATACACAGGCTACTTTTATCTCCCTTTAGCCAATCTATCACCAGCTTAGAATCTCCTTCGATGATCAGCTTCCTCAAGTTTAAGCCCTTAGCTCTCTGAACGCCTTCTAAGGCCACCAAAGTCTCAACTCTAAGAGAGTCACCCTCTTCGATTGGGCGAGAACAAAGCAGTTATTTTCCCTTTCTCATCCCTTAAAATACCCCCAATACCCGGAAGGCCCTGGGTTGCTAATGCTGCTTCCATCAAAGTTCAATTTATAGAATCCACTTGGAGGGGGGGTGCAATTTGGAACTGAAACCTCTTGGGCCAGGGCTGAAAAGGCAATTTCTTTCCATTTTCTTGACAAATCATCTATTGAGACATTGTTGAAGAGACCCATTGATTTAAGCCAATGGAATACCCTGGAGCAAATCACCTCCTGAATGGTTTCCTTATTTCTCTCTTTCCCTGAAAAAATTCTGGAATTCCTTTCTTCCCATACAGTCCAAACAACAGCAGCTCTCATTACAATGGAATACCCAGGTATAACATTTACCTAGCGCCATTCATTAGCTATCATTACAATGAGAATAGCATTTCAAACATCAAGCAACTCTGAAAAGTAAAATTGTCTGATTTAAAAAAAAAAAAAAAAAATTGCAATTACTTCATGTAAAGGACCAAAAATCATTTAGAAAACTCGATGCCGTTAAAACAATAAACAATAGCATAATCAATTATTTATTTTTCTCTTATATGTCAATGTATCATTTAAATTTGATCTATGAGGCAGATTAGAGTTGTGAGTTGTGACTTGGAAGTGAAACTCAGGAGAATCAAAGAGTCAACGTAAGATTGGAGATTGGAGAAGTGCATGAGAGATTTCTTGTGGGAACCAGGAGAAGAGAAGCAGGATCATCTAGTAAAATGGGACATCGTGTTTAGAAGTAGGGACTAGGGTGGGCTAGGTATAGGTAATTTAGTAGAGAGGAATAAGGCCCTTCTAGGAAAATGGCTTTGGAGGTTCCTTATTGAACAGGACTGCTTGTGGCACAAGGTTATTGTGAGTATGCATGGTATGTGGGACAATGGATGGGGTGCCAAGGTCAACATCGGGCTTCTTCAGCCTCCCCTTGGAAATCCATTCATGGTTTACTTCCTGTGTTCTCAACCTTCCTAAAGTATGGTGTTGGGTGTGGCAATAGAACTAGGTTTTGAGAAGACTTATGGTTGGGGAATTCCACCCTAAAAAACCAGTTCCCTTCACTTTATTAGGGGTGCAACTCGGGTTGGCACGAATTAGCATTTTACACTACTTTGGGCTCAGGCCTTCAGGCCGGGCCTATTACCTGAGCCCACCCAAGTTGCATCCCTACACTTTATTCCCTCTCCCTTCATAATAATGAACCCAACTCTAAACTTTGCTTGATATCTACAAATGGGTTGGATTGGGATTTGGGTTTCACAAGGGGCTTAGGGAAAGGGAATGTTCCGCTGTGATTGAATCATTTTCAAAGATCAAACTAGTTTTCCTGGAAAAATCTTGTGTTGACAGTCATATTTGGTCAGCTTCTTCTTCTAGTATTTTTTTCTTGTGCTTCATTTTATAACTCTGATCCAGTCCAATAGTTTGGGTGGGTCCTTTCCGGTGAAGGAAATGTGGAGCAGACCAGTGCCTCCTAAAATGAAGGCTTTCTATTGGGAAGCAATGGTAGGGAAGATCAATACATGTGATATGCTGCAAACAAGGAGACCAAGATGGTGTCTCTCCCCTCGTATCTCTATCCTTTGAAAGAAAGTGGTGAGTCTACTTCTCATTTACTACTCCCCTGTCCTTTTTTGAAATGCATTTGGGTGTGGTTTTGCTCTCTCTTTGGCTGCACGTGGGACCCTGCCCTTGAAGTAGCAAGCCTTTTTGGCCCTGGATTCCTTAGCCTAAAAAGAGAGAGCCACTAGAGCTGTGATTTAGTGGACTATTTGGGAGGAGAAGAATAACATATTATTCAAGGAGACTAGCAAGCTCAAGGAGGCAATCATAGAAAGTATTAGTTTAAAAGTGGCATAATGGATTAAAATAATGGAGATCTTCAAGGTTTTCACAATGGATGCATGCTTGGGGTGCGGTGGCAACTTCTTCTACAGTGATCAACCATGCTCAATTTTCTAATCTTTTTGTCAATTTTTTGAATGGCTTGTTATATTAAAAAGGAACTAGTTGCATATGGAGTGACTCATAATCTTTTGTTATTTTTTGAAAAATGATACACTAAATCATAGTTATCTACTATAAAATGTTTAGCAAAGTACACAGTTCAGAATTTGAAGAGAAGAGAGATGAGAACACATTACAAATAATAGCATTAGATATGATATTTACTTTTTACATTGAGAGCAAGTTTGCAATACAAACTTATGAAGAGAATTGATTATTATACTAATAAATAGGGTTTATTTAATGAATTGTTTTCTTAAAATGGAAACAGCCTCCCTGTATGTGCAGGGGTAAGGCTGCATAAATCTGTCCCTCCCCAGACCCCACATTGGTGGGAGCCTCATGCATTGGGCTGCCTTTTTTTCTTAAAGTGCAAAAAATTGAGGAGAATCAATAATTATACCACCAAATTGGATGGAAAACATAACTGAGTTGAGGGAGCAGCAGCACTACCTAATGAGTAGCGTTTACAATAATACCATAAAATAGCCCAAGTAAACCATTTAGCCAGTCACAGTGTACCACACTTTGACAAATAATCTGATAGAAAAGTCTCTATAGTAATCTCTCATCAAAAACATAATGAGCAGAGTTGTGGTAATCAATTTGGAAAAAATCCCGCAAGACTACAATTTTCCAGAGAAGATCCTAGAATTTGGTCTCCCAAATGTTTCATATGATGGCAATTATGGTGCTCCTGCCCATAAACTATTTTCTAAGACTCAAAGAGGAGAAGGTTCCCAGTGCCCAGGAGGGGTGGCCATGGGCTGAGCTTCTCACGAGCTATTCGAGCTCATCTCATGAAAAGCTCAGCTCGATTTGGTTTAAACCAAGCTTCGAGATGAGCTCAAGCCTGATATATAGGCTCGTTTGCTAATCAAGCCGAGCTCGAGAGTGAGGCTCACGAGCCTAATATAATAAATAAATATTTTTTACATATACATATACATATAAATATATAAATATATATTTAATAAATAATTTTTATAATTCATATTTTTTGTATGTAACGTGAAAACATTTTTATATGTATATTTTTTATTTTTTATATGTATAATAATAAATAATTTTTATAATTCTTAGTTTTTTGTATGTAAAATAAAAATTATTTTTATATGTATAATTTTTATTTTTTAGAAAAAAACTTGGCTTGCAGTCGACCTCAAAACAAGCTAAGCTCAAACTTGCAAGCTTTGAACCGAGCCGAGCACGAGCTCAAGAGCCTAACATAGTTTCAGCAAGCCGATCTCAAATAGCCAAGTATTCGGCTCGGCTTAACTCGAATCCACCCCTAGTGCCCAGTAGGCACCAAATAGACATAAAATGATTCAAAATTTCAGTTGCAAATGCACAAGAAATGAAAAATGGTTTGAGTCACAAACTGCTTCCCTTGCATAGATTCACTCATTAGAAGACAATTTTCAAGCCTTCCTCCTTTGTTGAAGCATCTCGCATATGTAGATATATTTCTATTAGGACTCCCAACAAAGGTTTCTAGAGAGACCAATTAAACAAACTTATATGAGAACACCTACACCTTACTAGTATCAGTATTGAAAACATTAAATTAGGAAAAGCAAGAAGAGACACCTTTACAAATGATTTATCAAACTCAACCATTCATACTTTCAGCTTTAGTGAGGGCACTCTTTGGCAAATTGTTAAGGGAGAGCTGCATGGTATATCAGCAAAAACAATACCCACACCCAGTCTTATTAAATCATTACCATGCTATGATAACTCATCAACCAAAACAAAATTATACAAGGAATTTGATTGCTCCAGTTAGCATGGCCAGTGGAAATAAATATATGGATATATAAGATAAACATCCTATGTGCTTAGAAGATTTGAACTTGCTTGTTTTGATAAATAAGAAATCTTATTGAAAGAAGGATGAAACCAACATACAAGAACCAAGTAGACATCCTAGATTTAAACTTACTTGAGTTGAAGGATTCAAATTTACATCCTAATTTTTCAGCAGCCGAAGTGAAAGCCTCTTGGACAGCACTAGCTTTGGACAAAGGAATGGGTACAGCCTGCAAAAGAAATTTCAAATCAGAAAATTTGTAACTATAGAATCAGTAAATTAAGAACTGAAAAAATTATATATAAACAAGATACCGTTTACTGCAGCAGCAATCCAAGACGTTGTAAGTTAATATAAAGCAACTACCATCAATGTCAAGGCGACGCCTAGGCCTAGACAGACATCTAGATGCTGAGGTGTTTTTTAGGAGCTATTACTTGGTGTAATGGTAAAATATCAGACTGGCAAGGTTAGAACCGTATCCTCTCTACCCCTCTAAAGACCCCAGATAGCTGGGACCTACATTGGTTAATGGACCTTGTACCTTGTCTTGGTCTTTTCATATAGGAGGTAAAAGGTATACTCACTTGAGGTATAGTGCAGCTAAACCATGTCATATTGTATAAATAAAGGGTAGAAGGGTGTAAAAGGTGTCATATAAGTAATTTTCAATTTATAAAGCTATAAATTGAGCAATGGCTTTTGATCGCCATTTCTCAAGTCTTTGACTGGTCTTTGTGTCTGAACCCAAAAGGCTTACAAGAGAATGCAAGATAAAAAAGAGAAGAAAAACATAAGTATCACTCCTAGCTTCCTAGAATCACTCTAGGACTTTGGAAATCACCTACCAAGTCCCCCTAAAGTTCAGGCATCAATAGGAGGTCTTTGAAGAAGCAAGGTTTAAAATGCTGATGCTGGTGGAAATATTGGAAATGTTGTATGGAAATATTGCAAACATTATAGACATGGTGAAAACATTGTGAAATATGCAAAAGCATGGAATGCTGTTTTACGTAACGACAAAAGATGTGCAAGTAGACCCTTTTAAATTATTATCTTGTTCCAAATCATCAAAGCTATGATAGGATGAATTTAAGCAAAATTTAAATTCATAGAAAAATGTAAATGATTCTAATATATCAATCAAATGATTTATCTTACACTAAAAACTAAGATTTAACTTCATGTTTGAGAAGGATTTTGAGATGGCTCAAAGTGGTAATTGTGTCCATTAGGTTGGCAAGAACACTGCTTCTTCACATATCTAAAATATTGTTGCCAACTCATATTATAATACTATCTCTTGTACTCTACATGGCACTAGCAGCTTTCATTGGGGAATATGTCAATTCCAGTAATATTTTCTGTCAGTAACCATGGAAATGGAAATAAAGGGCAGCCTAGTGCACGAGGCTCCCACCAATGTAGGGTCTGGGGAGGGACAGATGTAGGCAACCTTACCCCTGCACATACAGAGGCTGTTTTCAAGATTTGAACCCTGGTCACCCAGGTCACAATGGAGCAACCCAACCATTGCACCAAGGCCCACCCTCGACCATGGAAATGGAAATATGTTGTGGAAATATTACGAAATTTATGGACATTTTAAACTATGAGAAGAAGTGAACTTCATGTTACCTGAAGATTGGCATGAGTGCCATGTCTGGAAACCCACTCATAAAAAACAACTTCCTTGCCTAGATCCTTGAAATACATCTTCAAAGCATTTCTGAATCTTCCTAGTTCACTCTCTAGTTCTGGATCTAGAGAAAGAGTATTAGGACAATGCTCAATAGGTATGATCAGTACATGGTCTTGAACTAGTGGGCCCTTAGCCAGTGCACAATAGTAATTTTCTCCTACGGTGAGAATAAGATGAGACTCCACATTGGGGCTTGACAGACAGAACCAGCATTCTTTTGACCTGAAGCTCAATTGAAAGAATCCTGCTTAGTAAAACAGAAGCGATTTTCCTATGGAACACGAAAAGTTGCCACATTAAAAAATAAAAATCACAAACACATATAAGGGAGAAAGGGGGAGGGGAGGCAGGGAGGAAACGAAAGCAGTTTGGATCTGACTACTAATAAAATAGCACTGCTTAGGCATTATAAATAAGTATGGGCAGGAACCAAGATTTTGTAACATACCCAGATAAAAAAAAAAAAGAAGAAAAAAAAATGATCCATGTAGTAGTACACTTACCTGTTCTCTGATCTATTTCTCCTGTGAGAAAATTTCTCACCTTCATCCACTAAGTTGTGCTTAAAATTACAAACAGGACCCCGTTCGCATTTTCCTTTGTTTATAAAATCAAAACAAACACCCCTTAGACATTGCTCCCTTGCATCCATGTCATGCCTAAAGTTACACTTTTCTCCCCTTGAACAAGACCCTGAAGATGTAAATTTGAAGCAGAGCTTCTCACCATCTCCATCTCCCTGTTTCTGTCGTTTGTTGGAGACATCATACCGCCAATATTGTGTATCAGAAACACTATTGTTAGGTCTTTTTTCTGCTTCTTTAGGATGAACTGGTTTCTCTACAACTGTATATGGAGATAAGGTGGTGTTTGGTGGCTTCACACAGATCTCAGAAGCTGACATACTAGATGCTGGAGTAGGAGAGATCGCATGAATAAATTTCTGAGAAAGTATGTATACCAAAAGTTAAAATATGCCTTGCAGCAAGTTTTCTCTACAAGCATAACAGTTTTAATTGTTTTAGAACTTAAACAAAGTGCACATTTAGAAACCTAAGCTTGATGAGTTACACAGTGCTATCAATTAGAGAAGCCGAAAATTTTACTGAGAAGCAAAAGGCATCATACAGACTCTACAACATTGTTATCAGAATTTCTATGAATAAGAACCAAACCTGTTTATCCTTATTTCCAACAGAAGCAAGACCCAAGAAGCGAGTTACATGTTGGACCTCACTATTAGAGTATGGTTCTCGTGCATAAAATACACCTTTAGTGCCTGCAAAGTGATAGCTACGGACAAGATAACCACCACAATCAGAAAGCCTACATTATATCTATACAAAATAGTGTAGCCTTGTTCGGCATTACATGTATGTACTGCAGAGGAGAGACAAAAAATGGAAAAAAATTAAAAAAAAAGCAATGCAGGAAAATGTGGCTATAGTTCACTTTCAGAAAGGTCAAACAAAACAAAGGATATGAAGACAACATAATAGGTATATAAAAAATCTGTAATATGTTTTCATTGAAAGGATACAGTAGACATTTGCTCTATCAGTAATGGAATAAATATATCAAAAGAATGAGAAAAAGAAAAGGAGTACATGGGGCAGCAGATGAACAGAAAGATAGCAACAATTACAACAGCAAAGTTACTGCAAACTACACCTTGCACCAGATGAACAGAAAGAAGACAACAATAACAACAACAAAGCAACTCCAAACTACACCCCCTCATAGGAAGCATTGTTAGCAAAGAATCCTCCACAGAATTCATCAACCTTGAGATAGGGGAAGAGGCATACGTATAAGCTCATTATTGTCTGAATGATGCTGAGTAGGCTAGAAGAAATATGAGTGTTTAAGTTGATAGCGTGGATTTCATTGTTGGTATATCCATGTTCAAATTTGAGGGCAACTTGTTAACCCTTCAAGTGGTGACATGGACTCCAAATTTGAAGCTTAAACATCTGATATCAGAACCCTTGATTGTCTTGCAACAAAATCTTGGTAACTAAAGCAGTTGCACCAAAAGATATGGAAGGATGTTTTTCCTTTTTAACTTCAAGAAGTTGCAAACGACAATCTGCATAAAGGTTCTCTTTCTGATTATCAAGTACTTTAAAATTTGTGGCATTGCAGATGACAATTTTGAATATCTCTTCTGGTGTATTGAAATATATAGATCTAGGAAGAGTAATTCCAATGAGTTATTATTTGTTTGGGATTTGGAACTGTGAGAGGGGGTTGCACTAGCAAAGATAAAGGAAACAATATGGCAATTTTTAACCACTAAATGGGAATTTCAGTTTTAGTGTCAAATGCATGCACAATAATTGACCAAAAAAACATTGGTGATTGCTTACCGAGGCTTGATCTCAGCAACCAACTCTGATACGACAGGATCACTTCCAAATGAATCTGATATTCCAGGAAGAACTTCAGATGTATCAGCTCTATTTAAGACCCCACTTGGCCATTCATTAGTGATAGCCAGTCAAGAAAGTCAAAGAAAATGGACATATAAAAGTAAAACCAAATTGTGAAGCCAATAATGGAAAGCACCAGCTGTATTGAGAATTAAAACACTACATCCTTGACAACAATGAGGATATGTTAGAAACAGGTCAACCAAGTCAGATTCTTCAGCCAAAGCTCGCAATGCATCAATATCATCTTGGGTGTATGTTCCAAATGGTTGGCCACTTGATGACTGCCTCCCAGATAAGTAGACCACACATAACCCTGTACATGAGTTTACTAAATCAGCCTAAAGGAAAATCATTTGGGCATACAAGCCAACCAAAAATATTACCAAGTGAAAATGGAATTTCTAGCAACCAATATGTTGAACAGTTGAGAGCAGAAGTAATCAAGCAAGTTAGCAGTAGTAACAACAATAACAACATGGAGAACCTGGAGAAACTACCAAACAAAACCTAGAGATCAATGCTCTCCTTTGTTTCTCTCGGGTTTCAATAAACACCAATAGATTTTTTTTCTGTATGTAACACTTAATCCACCTGAGCAATTACGCGAATGAGTTACGCGAAGTTTATAATTTTTACATTGATTAGTTGTGACCCGGGCAACTACGCTCGGAATCAGCAAAGCTAAAATTTATCGGAATTAGAAAGATAAATATACACCAATATGACAAGTCAAGGAAATTAAGTAATACCATGGAGTTTGAACTTGCCACTACCCTTTAACCAGTACAAATTCTCGCATATCTTCAATCCATCCATCTTGAAGCCTTGATTATCCGGATTCCTTGAAGCAGCGGAAAGAACCTTGGGAGCACCGACGCCGTAGTCTCCGACGAAGTAAGTAGGAATAGGGACTTTTGAACGTCCATCAACATAGTCTGAGAGCTCCTCGAGCCGATCGGCTGAGTCGGGGAAGAACTGGCCCACGCAGAAAAGTGCATCGAACGGACCCGTTGATTTGTTTACCTTGAAGTAAATTAACAAAAAATATATATCAGACGATAATTAGTAAAACAAAATGGAAACTATAAGATGAAATTTTGCTATACGCCATGTGAGTGTGCGTAAATGAAAGTCTGAGAGAGACCGAAGAGACGCGCTTGAACAGCTGATTGAGGCGACCTAAAACATCTCCACAGAGAAGAATCCTTGGAGGAGCCATGTGGGAGAGAGAGAGAGAGAGAAAACTCAGAAGGCGGGAGAGGATTTAGGATTTAGGAATGAAGTGATACTGCAAGAGAAAAATAAAGGATGAATTTTTTAAATTACTCCCTAAGGTTTAGAAAATTGACCAAGTATATTATTATTGTTTCAATAAAGGGAATTTTGGACATTTTCTATCCCTGTCTAAGCATCATACACAAGTTTCAAAGTATCCAAATGCTAACCCTCATACACTATTGAGAGGCAATTTTAAGAAAAATATCGGAATATGTATATATATATATAGGAGAAAAAACTAAGATAAGTATAGATACGTTTGGAAACACTATAAATATTTTAATAAATCATAAAAATACATCAACAATACTAAATATAAAACTTCAATGAGGTGTATATACATTAAATTAATATATTTTAATGGTTTTATGAAGAATATATTATAGTTAATTATAATTTCATTAAAAATCCTATGCTTAACTATAATTTATAAATTATAATTCTTAAGTTTTAATGTTTTATGGGACAAGAAAAACCCAACTCTCCTATCCAACCATAAAACATGCATTAGCACAACTTCTATGAATAATAATTATTATTTATTATTTATTTTCAAAAATTATAAAAATAAATAAATATTATATAATATATTCAAAAAATAGTTATTAAAGAAGAAATTTCAATTGCTTTGTGGATATGATAGATCGTCTATAGAATTATAGTATATTCAATCATTGTGATCAAATGATAAAATATAATTTTTTTTTATTCTACAAAAATAATTATTAAAAAAGAAATTTCAATTGGTCTATGGATATGATAGATCGTCCATAGAATTATAAATTATTATTTATTATTCATCTCAAAAAATTATAAAAATAAATAAACATTATATAATATATTCAAAAAATAGTTATTAAAGAAGAAATTTCAACCTCTTTGTGGATATGATAGATCATCCATAGAATTATAATATATTCCATTGTTGTGATCAAATGATAAAATATAATTAATTACTATTTATTTTTTAATTCTAAAAATATATAAAAATCAAAAAAAAATATTAAATAAGAAATTTCAATTGCTCTATGGATATGATAGATAAATCCATAGATCTAAAACATATTTAGTCTTAATAGGTAGAGAAAAAACTTACATTTTCAAATTTTTTGTTAATTTATATTTTCCCCAAATACTCTCATGAAATTTCCATAAATCTACTGATAGCCATGGTTCAAAGTATTGATACGACACGCCCTGTATCGGGCGTATCGTATTATATCTTTTGGTCTTGATACACCTATTTACAGGAATTTTGAGACCCTCACTTATTTCAATAAAAAACATCTTTAAAATCAAATTTTGAAAAAAAAATACTAAAAAAACCCATTGAGCAGGGGCGTATTGGTACTTTGAACCATGCTGATAGCACAAAAAAAATATGATTTTGAATGTAAGAAATGTAGATAAACATAAATTTAAACATTAAAAAAAAAGAATCACAAGATATTATAAAAGATTGAAAAATTTTACCTATTTTTGCCATGTTTTTTCAAAATTTGAAAAATCTTTAAAAAAAACGATTCACACTTGTTTCTTGCAAACGTATGCAAATCTAGCACTCTAGGAATGAAGTTTAGAGTTTTAGAGACATTTCGATGTGAAAGAAGGCTTATTTCGGGGAAAAGAAGCTTGCTTTCCCCCTTTAATTTTTTTTTTAGTTTTTGGTCATATCTTTTTCACAGATACGCCCCAATACACCCCCGATATGCCCCGATACGCATGAATAAAGGCGAAATGCCCAATTTCTATGCGTATCCTATATTGGTTTTCCAAGATACGATACAATACGCCCCATATTGGACTTATTGTATCGAAATTTTAAACCTTGAGCATACAACGGGCATAAAGAGGGCATATATGTCCTTTACTCTCACTCTAAAAATTGTCCACTTATAACAGTTAAGAAACTGCCCACTTATAACTGTTCAAAATTGCCCATGAATTGTAAATAGTTTTGTCTTAAGAGATACTGTCACGTGCAAATGCACGTACATGTTTGCTAGTTGTCTTAAAGTAATCCAACTGTTTCAAACAATTCTCAGTATTAAAAAGATTATTTTGTCCTCAAAAATTGGCAACAATTTTTTCGAGTTCCTTGTGGATGACATCTACCGGTCTAGTCTCGCCAAGCTATCTATCCCCGAGCAAGCTCTATCACTATAAATTCAATTTTTTGATGTAGGAGAGATACACATCTTCTTGCTACACAACTCTCCAGAACCTGTTATGGCGACGAAGTATGGAAAGAGTTTTGACCAATCAAAAGATATGGTATGTCAAAACTCTTTCCATACCATCTTCCCACTAAAGAATTCGGGTTACTCGAGGGGTCAACCCTAACTCAATTCAAAGTAAAGTCGGGTTCATAAATTTCAATCTTAACCCTAACTCGAGCATCAACCCAACCCGACTTTTTTTGAGTAGGGTTACGGTTGGGTTCGGGCCAACCTGGCCCAAGTTACAGCCTTACCTCAGGGTATAATTATAACATTATCGATATCATTTTATCCAATTATGGTTTACTGTCAAATTGCAAGTTAAAATTAGATCAGGCAATTATAATTGGGTGTTAAAATTGAATTGGTTTCGATTTAGGTAGTGTTTGGTATCATTGCCATACCAAGCTCAAATATAGAGATGCAATGGATCATTACTACCTAAAAGGCTGAAACATATAAATTAAATAATACTCAATGTGATTTCCAATGGTTAAATTTAAAAAGAAATGTTTTTATTGATTAATTCATTATTGTACATAGATTAAAAGGTTTTTATGGGTGTTCAATGGTATGTATCTACTTTTGTTGATAGTATGTGATGTGCTAGAATATATCTCTACACCAAGGATTAAGGTATTGATACGATACTTCTGACATGGGGCGTATCATATCCGTATTCATGACCATGGATATAGGACACGGTATGATTGGATACGTATCCCACGAGTCATGCATATCGGCATAGTACGCCTTCATATCGGGCCGTATCACACCATATAAGTGGATTTGGTATGATACACACCGATACGGAGGCGTATCCATGTCTAGTTTGAAAAAACTATACATTGACTACTTTTGTATTGTTTTTCATCTTTAATATAAGTTAAAAAAATAGTATTATGAAAACTGAAATAAATAATTTAACATTTAATTTTTCCAAAAAATAATAAAAACTAAAAATTATAAAAATAATATATTTCATCTACCTTAGATGATTTATATATTTTATTTTACACATAATTATATGTTAAAAATGAAAATATAGTTGTTATTTGAAAAAAAAATAGTTATTATATAAAAATACTAAATAAATAATTTTCCCTCCAAAATTAATGGAAAACAGAAAATTATAATTATAAAAATTGAAATGAATAATTTAAGATGTAATTTTCCCAAAGAATTAATAAAAACTGAAAATTAAATATAATTTATTTTATCTACCTTAAATGATTTATTTGTTTTATTTTACAATTATGTGTAAAATAAAAACATTATATGTAAAAAATGAAAACATATTTATTATTTAAAAAACATTTGTTATTTAAATAAAAATGCTTAATTAATAAGGACCACTTCTCAATCTTTCTAGTTTTGTATCCCTGCCCAGGTGGCTTGGGAAAGGAATCTGGACCGAATCTATGTCTGTGCGTGCACGGAACGAGAGGCTCTCGTTCGAATTAATAAAAATTGAAAATTATAATTATAATATTGAAAGAGTGATAATTATTGTACAATGTCCGAATGTTCTAGAGTCCCGATATTGTTCATTGTAATATTTCTCTTCATTTAACCTATTGAAGTATACATTTCTCATGTATCTATATCTTATTTATAGATAATTCAGCTTTTAGTTTAATATTATTAATGCATTTATATGATTTGTATACATTTCCCTAACATATCTAAGCATTTCTATATATTCCATTCGTATTCATGCGTTTCCAAAACATATTTGTATATGTATCTGATTTATCGCTTGCTCTACACTACCGCACTGTTAACTAGACACGTCCTTGACTGTTTTTCAAGATGAATATATTATGAAGGGAATGCCGATTTGATGTTTCCCCGATAAAAATGTTTTATATTTTAATTCATAGAGTTCAATCATAATGCTGGAAAGATATGATACTTGATACCAGACCAATCAGATGGGTTTTGATCAAAATTTAGGAGAGTTTTGATTGGTCAAAGTCTTATGTTCTTTCTGTCATCATAAATTTTTCCTAACTCACGGACCAAACCACCTACCCCATAGGCCGTACTAGACTCAAATCACATTCTATCCGTTAAATTGAGATTCCAGATCAAACCAATATATATATATATAAATAGATAAATAAATAGATAGATGAACAAAAGATTCCATATTATCAATAAAAAATTACTTAAATGCTATATATTATGAAAGAAAATGACACAACAATAACTTCTATTTACTTCAATATAAGGATCTTCGGTAGACTTCAACATACAACCCAACATTACTAGTAGATACATAGTAACTAACTAACTATACCTAAACATACTCATGTATGATTAAACTACGTTAAGCCATCCACGAGAAATGAAATGGAAAAGGATGAAATGGAAATGTCTAAGTTAAACATTCTTGGTGCTAGTCGTGGGGATATGAATGTCAATTGGAATGGATTTTGTCCAATCCGATCTGGTCCAATATATAAGTACATTACAAATGGTCCAGGTCTAATCCAATCTGATGAATACTCTGGACCATTTCAATTAAATGTTTGGATCATCCAAACCTAGTTCATTGACACCCTATATTCTTATATTCTATCAGTAGACTAGATATTGGTTCAATCTGCTCCAATCTAATATAAATCCATTGCAAATAGACCAGGTCCAATCCAATCTAATATATACTTTGGACCATTAAGTCCAGACAGGTCCAATTCAATATGTCCTATAGGTCTGTCCAATCCATCCAAATTGATTTTAATTTGGATGGGGTCAATCCAAAACTCGTCAATTGACACCCCAACAGTAT